AACAGATATAGACATGCAATACTGGCAAGACACATACTTAAAGGAAGGCTGGGGCCAGGTGGAACCTGACCTCTCTGATAGAAAGGCAATGACAACCCGGCACAGTCTGCATCTTTCTTTATACACAATATAAAGGGGAAAGTGCGGGATGGGGTCAAAAGTGCAAGGTCTCAGAGTTTTCTTGAAAGCATAAAAGCAAAACATGCTAAGAACTACCCATGCTTTAGTTACCAGGGAGGAACACCAAGGCTGGACACCTGTTGATATGTCACTGAGCTAGAGGTCAACTTGTATATGGTCTGCCTCTGGTATTTCATGTTTCCAGGACTGGCTTTGCTCCATTCTCAAGGAGTTCACAGACCTCAGGCTCAGCTGCTCCCTAAAACTGGTTTATTTGTCTGACATTTAAAAATAAATGGCACCAAATCTTCATAAACTCTTCTAGGAAATAGAAACAAAGGGAGCACTTTCTAGTTCAATTTATGCAGACCAGTATTGCTGTGACACCATAACAAGTTAATGATGCTTTGGGAAGGCAAAAGTACAGACTAACACCTCTTATCAATACAGACACAAAAATGTTGCATTAAATAGCATCAAATTGATTCCTACACAGCATACAACAAATTATATACCTTGGTTAAGTGGGGTTTATTCTAGATATGTAAGGCTAACATCTAAAGGCAGTCATCCAATCTACTACATTAAGGAGTAAAGAAGGAAAATCAAATTATTATAATGATGCAAAATAGCATCATTACATAATCCAACATCAATTCATGCCCCAAAACATCTCAGCAAGTGGGAATAAAGGGCTACAATCTCCATTTGGTAAGCAACAGCTAACATCATCCTTAATGTTGAGAGATTGGACCCTTTTCCCCTGAGGTTGAGAAGAAGGCAAAGCAGACCACTCTCTCCACTGTGACTGTCTTAGCACTGCCAATCCAATGACAGTAATGAGATGAGAAAAAGCAATGAAAGTTATCTACATCAGAAATGAGATGAAACTCTACAAGTGATATTATGTAGAAAGTCTAATGAATCTATCAAAATCTTCTTGGACTTAATAAGTAAGTCTAGCCAAGTTTCAGAATAAAGGCTACTACGCAAAGAAGTACTTTTCACATACTACCACTGAAGAATTAAAACCCACAATTAAAACCCAACACTATTCAGGATATCACTAAAAGATGAAGTACTTAGGTATAAATCCAATGATACATGAAGAAAATCTATAGTTGAAAAACTATAAAACACAAATGAAAGAAATGCAAGGGGTAAATCAATGAAAAGATATTCCATATGTGTGGTTGGAAGGCTTGTTATTACCCATCAGTCATTTCTTTCTGACTTGGTATTTAGAGTAAACACAACTTCTGTTTTAATCCCAATGAGACATTTAAAAAATATTGGCAAATTGAGTAAAGTTTATAAGGCAATGCAACGGGTCTTTTCCCAGTGTGAATAGTGGAATATAGAACATTTTGAGTGGTAGCACACTTACATATGATACTGTAGAGGAAATCATGATATTACGTATTTGTCAAGAAAAAACACAACAAGCTTTTTTCCAAAATATCAAGTTAATTAACATATTTCTTGTACATATCATCTTTTTGTGGTACAGCATTTGAAATTCCTCCCACTGTTATTTTTAAATATGAAATATGTTACTATTGACTTTCATCCTGCTATGCAACACAACTCAAAATTTACTACTCTTCTCTAAAAGAAACCTGAACCCCTGCCTAGACTCAAGCAATTCACACTTCCTTCTGCTCCCCTCCCCTCAGCTGTGATAATGCTCTCTCCACTGTCCACCTCTGTAAGTTCAACTTCTTACATTTCACATATACCTGAGACCATGGAATAATTTTCATCCTGTTCCTAATTTATTTCACTTAATATAACATCCTACAGATTCCTTTGCTTTATCTTTCTTTTTAGAGCAATTTTATGTTCACAACAAAATAGTTAAGAAAGCACAGAGCTTACCATATATCTTTTGCTCCTACAAATTCAACCTCATACACTTCCAACAACCCCCATTGCTGTGATAAATTTATTTCAATTCATTGATTTCCTACAATGACATGTCACTAGTAACCAAAGTCTACAGTTTACCAGAGGGTTCATTCCTGGTAGTGTACTTTCTACAGGTTTTTGAAAAGTGTATAATAATAGGTATATACAATTATAGAATTATATACAATATTCTCATTGCCCTGAAATCCACTGTCCTCCATCCATACATCCTTCCTACTACAGCCCTTGAAATCCACTCATCTTTGTATTGTCTTCAGGCTCCACCGTATCATATACTTGAAATCATATAGCCTGTAGAGTTTCACATCAGCTGCTTTCACTTAAACATATACTCTCAATTTCCTTTACATCTTTCCACGGCTTAGCATCTCATTTCATTTTCATTATGAGTAATCTTCCATTGTCTTGATTGTACCATAGTTTCTTTGTCCATTCCCCTACCAAAGGGTATCTTGTTTTCTTCCAAGTTCTGGCAATTAGGTTCAAGCTGCTACAAACAATTTTGCTGTGAACCCAAAATTGTTCTAAAAGTGAAGACAAAGTAAAAGATTCTGGAGGATGTTATATCAAGTGAAATCAATTGCCAGGGGTTTGTGTTGGTATATGTTTTCAATTAATTTTGGTAAATGACAAGGACTAGGATTGCTGAACTACACTGCAAGCAGGTTTAGTTTTGGAAGAAGCTGCAAACTTTCTTCAAAATAGCTGTACTAGTTTGCAACCTTATCATCAATGAATGCAAGTTCCTGTTTCCCCTTTTCCTTGTCAGGATTTGGTATTGTCACTGTTCTGGATTTTGGGGATTTCACTAGGCATGAATTGAAACATCATAGTTCAGGTTGCATTTATATGATACGTGTGATGTTCAGTATCTTTCTCATGCTTATTTACCACCTATACATTTTATTCAGTGAGATGAGTTCTTTGGATTTCAGCATACATTAGGTCCACTTGTTAGTTTGCTATTATTGAATTTAAAGATTTCTGTTTATCCTCTGTGTGTGTGAGAGAGAGAGAGAAAAAGAGAGAGGGAGAGAGAGAGAGAGAGAGAGAGAGAGAGAGAGAGAGAGAGAGAGAGAAAGTGAGACAGGGTTTCCCTATGTAGTTCAGTCTGCCTTGAACTTGCTTATGTCAGCCTTGAACTCACAGTGATTCTGCTACCTCAACCTCTAGAGCATTGGGATTATGGATGTGCACCACTTCTTCCAGTCTTCTCTGTGAATGTTGAGTAACAGTATACATTACAGCCTTTATAAAATGTGTCCTTTGTCAACATTTTCTCCTAATCTGGTGGTTGACTTTGCATTCTTTTAACACTGTCTTTTCACAGAACAGAAGTTTTGAGTTTTAAAAACCCAATTTATCAATTATTTCTTTATGTTGTATCTAAAAGTCAAGGGTATATCTAAGGTCATCTAGGTTTCTCCTTTGTTCCTCTAAGAGCTTTATGGCTTTGTGTTTTATACCTGGGATTATGATCCGAGTCAAGTTGGTTTTGGTAGAACGTGTGTGGTCTATGGCCAGATTTATTTTTCTTTGCATGTGGATGCCCATCTGCTACAGCACCATCTGCTGAACACAAAATTTTTGCTCCATCACTTCTTTTTGAAAGATCAGTTAACTGAATATCTGGGCTCATTCTGGGCTCTCTATTTTGTCCCTTAATCTATATGCCTTTCTTGTGCCAGTGCCACACTCTCTTGATCACTGCAGCTTCATAGTAGGTCTTTTTGTTGGGTATTGCCAGTTCTTTGTTTTTTCTTTTTCTTCAATATTGAATTAGCTATGCTGGGTGTTTTGCCTTTTCACATAAATTCATAATCAGCTTTATGGTAGCTTCCCCTGGAAAAAAATTGTGGGGTTTGATTTGGAAAATCCCATAGAATATTATACTTCAGAGTGAACATTAATGTTTGCAGCTAAAATGGTAATAATGTTGAGATAGCACATGATGGAATGTACAGTGGGACAAAAGAATCTAGGTATATTACAAATGTATAAACAAAGCTCACGAAAGGTTAAGGGAGTATAAAAAGCATAAACCAAGCAACTCTGAACAACTGCACTTTAGCAGATAAGGTTGCTTTCCAAGGAGGTATGATTAACAATTCTCAAACTATAATACTTACATTCCTGTGTTCTCTAGTGACATAAAAACAATACTTGGTAATATTGCTCTCACCCTGAAACTGCACAATATATATTTCTTAAATATATAAATCTATATTATATATAGATTTGAATATGTAAATCTCTCTTTATATATATTTCTTGAATATGAAAATATGTATGCATATGTAAATATATATTTTTGAATATAAATATTATACATATATGAAGAGAGAATTTATAAACTGAATAATGTAATTTTGAAACCAGAAAAGTTCCAGGATCTACAGTCAGGATGCTGGAGACTCAGGCGTGCTGATGATCTTGTTCCAGGGCAGCCTCAAAGCTGAGAACAGGAAGAGCCAATGGTGTACCTCCAGTATAAAACACGGCAGGCTTGAGACCCAGAGCAGGTTGATACTGTAATTTGAGTCTGAAGGCAGAAAAATCAGAGTCCTGGCTCAAAGGCAATCACATAGGAGGGTTACACATTTACTCAGCCTTTGATTATACTTAGGCCTTCAACAGTTTCAGTGGGCCCCCTAACATGAGGATAGTCATCAGCTTTCTTCAGTCAGTCAATTCACATTTTAATCTCTTTCAGAAACACCTTCACAAACATATTTTAAAGGATGCTTATTAGCAAAATATCTAAGCACCTTGTGCTGGAGTCCATGTGATAATAGTATTTTATTGCACATCAGCAGCATTTTGGCATAAGAAGAGAAGCAAAAGATTGTGATTCATGAGTCACTGTGCTGTGCTCTGCATGGGGTTGGCCAAATTACAGAAAAGAAGAATTATTCACTCTGCTATGTGTCATAGTGAGAATTCCTGTCAGCTAGAGATGACCCTGGCCTCTCCTCCCAGAACACATTCTGAAAATAGCAGGTCAAGAAGTTGCTCATTTCATTCAAAGAGCAGCACTCCTCAGAGAAGAACCACGGCAGGATCCACAGAATATCTGTGCATTCAAGCAACAGAAACAATAGGAAAAACAAAAGGCACTTAACAGTGGACCACAAAAAGGCACGATACAATATCAGAAAGAAATTCAATAAAGTGGTCTCAGCTACAAAACCAAAGAAAGAAGGGGAAATGTGATGAAATACTAAAAGGTAAAACATTATCTTAAAAAGTTCAGAAAAGGACAGAGAAAAATACAGTACACTAGAAACAAAGGCTGAATTGAAAGCAGCACCAAGAAGAAAGAAATGACTGAGGCCAATAATGGACACAGAAGAAAAGATGGACAAAACTTCATGGCAGTGAAAAAGGGGTCAGAGAGTGTTGAAAGAGAATCAAAATATGATACAGAAAAGGGAAAGAAAGTGGATAGGAAATCAATGTAAGCATACTTTGAATAGAAAATACATATGATATATACTTACAATATTTATATACATATGCAAATCATAGAATAACAAATAGCCCAATACACTTTTCACATACCAATAACACACCCCACACACTAGCCAGTGTGAGCACAACATCGCCAATAAAGTTATGAAAAGGATCCACAAGGACCTACTCACTTAGGACATGAATACAGCATATATTCTGGTCCTCAAACAAGCATCACCCACTCTATTTGTAAAGACATAAATAAATGTATAAGAAACTATACTGAATATTTAAATATGAATTCATTATATCTATTTAGGAAATGGAAGAGTATACGTGCATCTTACTAACTTTCAAAATTTAACTACAAGTATACAGCAAATGTGGATATCACATATTCAATGGGAACACGAGGCACATACATAGAACATACAAACACTGAAATACCACCCAGCATAAATAATGAGCTTTCTTTAAAAAATAAATTACTCAAAACAAAGAGATTATGGAAGGTTTAATTAAATAAAAGGTATATTATTTAGATATTTCACACAAAGAATATGAGAATGGAAAATTTTGGGCATCAAATATTAAGAAATAAGTAATAAGAACAAGGATGCTGAAAAATTGATTCATATAAGTTAAGCAATTTTTGCCATTAATGAATATATACACTTTTAAGACCTAAGTATGGTATTGGGTATATTTTTTAAAGCCAATCCTTAGACACATTGAATGATTTATGAAAAAGTTATAATTTCTAGAAATTAACTTTCCAATAATTTGGGGTAAGTGAGTGAATAGGGTAGAAGAATGGAAGAAACAGGGCCATGAAATCTTCATTGCTAAACCTGGCTGATTGGTCTATATGAGGCCAGTTGTGGTGTTTTTGTCCTTTTTTTTTTTTGAAGTTTTCCTTAAGGGCAAATTCGTTCTTTTACCTTTTGAATCCTTGGGGGAAATTGTTATTTTTTTGTTTGTCGTAGTTTGTTTTTTGCTCTTCGTTTTTTTTTTGGTTTGGGAGGAGGCCACGCCTCCAACTTTTTTGTCCCCCGGCAGGCCTTGGAGACCTTTTTTTTAGGCTTTTGCTTATCCTTTCCTTCCCTTAATTTAGGTTTTTTTTTCTTTTCCTGCGTTCAGTTCAAACTTGGGGGCGGAGGATTTTTCCTTGCTTAAGGGTTGCCAAAATATGCATTCTGGATATTTCATAACTTTGCTAACGCTGTAGGTGTGACTTCATTATTTGTAGAGCCCAACCCTCGCAATCTGCAAGCTCATCTTCCAGAAGCCAGCCCAGCCCATCTGTACCATATATAAACTGTTGCCTAAGCCCATCTCTTTCACTCGCTCTTCTCAGCTCTGTCCTCAGCCTCTCACGCCTTCCCAGCTTTCTCAGCCCCAGGGAACTTGTCTAGCAAAACCATCGTGAGGAGCCAGAGCAGCAGCCGCTGTGGCTTTAGTTCCAGCTCAGCCAGAGTCCCTGGGCTCAGCCGCTCCGGCTTCAGCAGTGTCTCTGTGTGCCGCTCCAGGGGCAGTGGCGGCATTGGGGCAGCGTATGGAGGAGCTGGCTTTGGCAGCAGGAGCCTCTATGGCCTGGGAGGTTCCAAGAGGATCTCCATCGGAGGGGGCAGCTGTGCCATCGGAGGAGGATATGGCAGCAGAGTTGGAGGTGGCTTTGGCTTTGGAGGTGGAGCCGGCAGTGGATTTGGTTATGGTGGTGGAGTTGGTAGCGGTTTTGGGCTCGCTGGTGGAGTTGGCTTTGGTGGTGGCTATGGGGGCGCTGGCTTCCCCGTGTGTCCCCCAGGTGGCATCCAAGAGGTCACGGTCAATCAGAGTCTCCTCACTCCTCTGAACATGGAAATCGACCCCACCATCCAGCGGGTGAGGACGGAGGAGCGTGAGCAGATCAAGACCCTCAACAACAAGTTCGCCTCCTTCATCGACAAGGTGAGTCATGAGGCCTGGCCCTCTGCAGACAAAGACATAGCAATCCTCCAACAGGAAGAACTAGGACAGCAAGTGGGGGCTTCACACTGGACCTCCACAGGGCACAAGAGGGCCCCTTGGTGGGTGACAAGAGCAGGAGGAGATGGAATTGGAACTGCTGAGTTCCGTTTGGAACTGCTGACTTCCCTACAGACCCACAGATGAGGCAGTGTGACAATGGAAAGGGCTAGGTCTCCTCTCTTGAGGATCTGAGATACAAGCAATGGCAGTGGTCCTCGGGCCCCTGCTTCCCTCTGGGGTCTGGATTAGAGAAAAAGGCTAAACAAAAACTGAAGAGAAAACAATTTTCTTCCTTGAATAATGAAAAAGTTAAACAAGTTACACAATATGTGAAAATGCTAATTTATTACACAAAACAGACAATGACTACAAAAATGGGATGTTTATAGGGGATACATGCATTAAGTGGAGGAATAGATATTAATTAATTTACTTATTTATCTATCCTTAATCTATATTAATCTTTAGGGAACATTTACATCCTGATAGCTGAATCCTATCCATAAAGGAAACTTGTACAATGGAACAACAAACACTATTTTCAACTAGAATTGTGACTGTGCTTGCAAAGAGAGGAAGAAATATTAAAAGCCACTGATTAGATTCACAAGTTAGATGGTGAGAAGTACTGAGTTGTTCATTCTGAGGGTTTCTTGGTTGGTCTGTGTGTTGGAAAAGAGAAACTGCAGCAGACCAAACTGTCAGTGTGAGTCTCTGTGCATGCTCAGCACCGTTCATAGGGAGAAGCAGGGACTGCTGGGAGACCTGCCAAGCCCTCACTTCTTGCTTTCTGGCTTTGTCTCACAAATAACTATCTGTGCCCCTCCCAGGTGCGCTTCCTGGAGCAACAGAACAAGGTCCTGGACACCAAGTGGACCCTGCTCCAGGAGCAGGGCACCAAGACAGTCAGGCAGAACCTGGAGCCTCTGTTTGAGCAGTACATCAACAACCTCAGGAGGCAGCTGGACTCCATCCTTGGAGAGAGAGGCCGCCTGGACTCAGAGCTGAGGAATATGCAGGACACAGTGGAGGACTACAAGCACAAGTGAGTCACAACAGGAGAGGAGGAGTGGGCTCAGATTCTCCAGCTCACACTGCAAAAGAATTCAGAGGACAAGTCTAGATGTGCACATAACTCTGGAGGAAAACTCGTGTAGGAAAGATGATCATAAATTACTGCCAACCAGCAAAAACTGTAAGACAAGCCTGTTATGTGAGTTAGGGGTAGAGTAAAAAGAAAAAAATTTGTTGTGATAACAGCAAGAATCGTTTGGTCTCTCTGTGGCAGGGAAAATGGATCTGGACGCTCTCCATTTATGGAAAGAGGGGATCAGAGACAGTCCTTGGGTTTCCTCCACACACTGGCTCAAATGCGTTATACCCTTTCCTTGTAGATATGAAGATGAAATCAACAAGCGCACAGCAGCAGAGAATGAATTTGTGACCTTGAAAAAGGTGAGCTGACAAAGTTGGGATTGAGGCTGCTCTGCTGAACCAGAGATATGCTTCCGTGTCCCCCTCCCCTCCAAGAGGAGAGATGCCAGGGAGGTAGAGACGGATGGCCTGAGCAGGAGGGCTCAGCTAACTCCTCTCATTGCTCTGTCCCCAGGATGTGGATGCTGCCTACATGAACAAGACTGAACTGCAAACCAAGGCAGACAGCCTCATCGATGAGATCAACTTCCTGAGAACCTTGTACGAGGCCGTAAGTTTCCTCTCCCACTTGCGCTTCACTCGGGTGGGATCTGCAAAGGCAGGAAGACCTTGATGCCGGTACCTCTGTAAGTGGTATGCACAAAGATGACCTTCGCACCTTGTGTTCTGTAGGAGCTGGCTCAGATGCAAACCCACATCTCAGACACTTCTGTGGTCCTGTCCATGGATAACAACCGCAGCTTGGACCTGGACAGCATCATTGCTGAAGTCAAGGCCCAGTATGAGGAGATCGCTCAGAGAAGCCGGGCTGAGGCTGAGTCCTGGTACCAGACCAAGGTGAGCAGTGAGGTGGTAGCTGCTCAGCAATCCGTGTGTCCCAGGCTCCAGGTCCCACGCTTCTAATACCAGAAGGCTTCTGAACCACTGGGCTGGGGGAACTGCTGAAAGAATGTAGGGGTCTTCTCACAGCAAGTACACTACACATGGTTACACACTGACAGAATTTATGCCCAATCTAGAAAGCAAAAGGACTCAGAGGAAGGAGGACAGAGATCATATAAAGAACTCAGCATCTTGCTCACATGTACCCTGAATGTTCCTTCTCAGAATATACTACAGAACACTGTCAGATCCCAAGAGAACCAGACACTATGTGGTCTCCTAAGCAGCAGGGTTTGTGACTGGGTTTTACAGTGTCCAATAAGCCTGTCTAACCCACTTTTCCATAAATTTCAAGGGTATGACATGTCTTTTTACAAGTGAGAGCTCTCCTTTGCATAGGAAACCCATATCGATTTTCTGTGTCTTCAATTGACCTACAGTATGAGGAGCTGCAAGTCACAGCAGGCAGACACGGGGACGACCTGCGCAACACCAAGCAGGAAATCGCTGAGATCAACCGCATGATCCAGAGGCTGAGATCTGAGATCGACCACGTCAAGAAGCAGGTACACAAAACAGAGTCAGTTAGAGCTTGCTTCTATCAATCCTAGG